TAGTCCATTTTTCCAAATTATTTCTTTATAGTCTTTTCCTTCAGACTTTCAAGCAAGTGCTTACATGTTGCTTCCACGCAAAGAAATTTCCTGCAGTTGGCATTAGTTGTACCTCACTTGGAAGCTGGGAGGAAACTTTTGGTGAAATATTACAGTTTAGACACTGTATCAAATTTAGCTCTGGATTATGTTTTTTTTTTTCTGAAGCCAATTACGATTCAAAACTTTTGAAAAAATATTAACTTTATAAACTAAATTTTCAGGATTCCCTCCTTTCTGATGGGTTTATGTGCATATTGTGAAAAAATTGCACAAAACCATTGTGAGGTCATGATATGAGTTTGTCTTTCAATATAAGATAAATGATCCCATTGTAAAATCAACTCACCTCACAGGGGTGTACAAAAGAAAATGTCATTTTCTAAGTGTCATTACTTATCTACCTTCACTCCTCAATTTTCTTGCTTAAGATCTTTTCAGTTAATAAAACCTGTAGATTCTGAAAGCAATATTAAGGAGAGAAAACTGAGATGAGAATATCTTGAAGATCAGCCTATTTCAGAAAAATATATGCAACCATACTTCTTACATAGTAATTATAGTAGATAATTATTGCTTTCCTTTGAACAGACATTTATGTATTTTTTCACAGTCATCAGGACTTCATAAAACAAAATAATTATCATAAAATAAAATAATAATAACTTCATAAAATAAAATAATAATAATAAAAATAAAATATCTTCTATTTCCAGTCCCATGCTTGTATACAATAAATTGTGAATGTTCGTGGAAAATATGGAAAATGGTGTGAGTTTGGTGGAGAAAGGTTTATCATCTGTGACCTGTTCCACTTCTAAAACAAACTCAAGCCCGTAAAAATTACACATTTCTTCTGAGTATTCACAGGTAGCCACCATTTTGGAAAGATTATAATGTTTTTCCTGGATTAATTACTATAATCCAATTTTCTTTAGTCATTAAAGGGTTCAGTCATCTCTCTTTTACGTTAGAATTTTTTTATGCGAAACATTTTGTAACTTTTGAAGAGAGCCCTGAACACTTGCTGCAATCAGTCCCATCACTGTTCCCCAGTGGAGTCTCTCTTAGCACAAGGGCTGGATTTTCTGTCTTCATTTCCAGTAGTTCAGGCAAGATCTAATTCATTAGAGGATCATTTAAGTTTTACTTATTCATAAAGGAAGAGCTGAGGCATCATCTTAGATAAAATAAAAAAAGATTTTTCTGTGAAAATACAGGGTCTCTCATGAACAATATGACTTGGGTTTTGTTGTTTGCTTTCTATTTGTAGGGAGAGATCCCCAAAGACTACTACTGAGTGATTATCTCCTTGTGTTAGGTCAACACTGTAATAAAAGCCCATTTAGAGATGCTTATTCTTGAATTGAGACTCCAGTGACTTTTCTTTATGGATCTTTTTTCTGTTCTGACACAAACTTTCTATTCATTATTAGCAATAAAAGGAGAGAATACCTTGAAGGAGCACAGTATCTGAGTAGCCATTAATTAGTTTTTGAGACTTGCCTACCCAAAATGTAATTTCCTAGAATATAAACAAGTAAGAGCAAAATCCATGTACACAACTTGCCCATTGTACACAAAGATTAACAAGTTATTAATAGGACCAACTGAAGTTGTGAGAAACATCTGCGTGCTTGCTCACAGCGAGCCATTTCAAGCACTCTCCAGTAAGTTTGGAATATATTGGTGGAGAAACTGCAGTATGGATAAAAGCACTCCTAGTGCTTGCGTTCAGATGTAGGAGGAATGATTTCTCATAATTTTTTATTAAATTGAAGTCGTAGCAAAACCAGAATGCATTAACCTCTTCGCGGGCTGCGTGTATGCAGCGAGAGGATTCAGTGACGCACCTCCTGACCCTGCCTCTGCAGAGACAGAGAAGATGATGTTTTCACATACTCAGCTCTTTGATTTCCTTTCCACTAGCCATAATTAACATTTATTCAAGCAACATTAGGAAGAACATAAATATTTCAAAGAAGCTAATTACAGCATCCAAAACATCCTCCAAGCTATTCGTTTAATGAGGATGTGTTTTGCTCCTGCAATAGTGTAACATTAATTTCATCAAGCAATTAAACAAAACAAAACCAGATACAATAGAGAAAGACATATTTTTTCTCCTGTTTACAAGAATGCTTACTTGAATTTCAGTAAGTTCCTTGAATAAAGACAACTGTTATAAACCATACAAGCTTCCTATAAACTCAGATACAAGCTTGGTGAACTTGCTCTGTCAAAATTTGCACCAATTTCAGTAGAAATATTATCTTGGTGTAATATAGAGTCTGAGCTTACTGCAAATGTACATTTTTGTTAGAAGTTATATTGTTTTTTCTAGTATATTATAAGGAGGATTACAACTATGCCTGAATCAGTTTATCTTACCCATGTATCAGGAACTACACTGATGCTTTTAGTAAGAAGGCATGGTCTAAAAAGAAATGGAGTTCACAACTGGGTTGGAAGTACTGGAGAAGTGTAGCCTGTTAGGATTCAGACACTGTAACACATGGCACAAATAGGATTGAATGTGTAATGGCTACTGCTTTTGCCCATTAGTAGGAATCTGCTGAAAACAAAATTCACATTTCAGATGAAGGATTATCAAGCAATACAAATTCAAGCAAGAGAGAAAAATTTTTTTTGATGGTAAGTGGAAGACCAGAAATTTTCTATCCAGAAACTTTTTCTCATCATCCTCAAAATCTCCTGATATGTTTTTGTGCAAGTGGGCTCAGGAAATTTTTTCAGTTTGCAGTACTAAAACACACTGTACAAAAATGCGCTTCTGGGCTAATCAGAGCCCTTTCACCTGAAACTAAAGTTTAACTCAAGATGTATCGTTTTTCCAGTATTCTTAAAACACTGCACCATTCAACAGGTGCAGAATATTTACAGGCATCCTATGCTAAAATCATAATAGAGTGTAATTTGTTTTATTTCGCAATCTCTTAAATATTTAACAAGACTGTAATAATTAAAATGCATAACAAATTAAATCTTTCCTTAGGCTAAAGCTTGGGACACTGATTCATGCAGTTGAATCAAGATAGATTAGGGAGATACCTTTCAGCACTTGTGACTCCCCATTTATGATAATTTCTTCAAATGAATGTGTTCTGCTTTTATTAATGAAAAACCAAAACTAAATGCAATCCCTTGATTAAGACTGTTTTTTTAAAACTCTTTTAATTAGGTAGATATAAATGCAGTCATATGTACAAAATACAGGCTTCTTCAATTTATGTACTGGTCTGACAACTGGCTCTCCATTGACGTGAAGATTAGCTCTGTCCCCAGACATTTAAAGGAAAGCTTTGCTACTGAATATGATAAAGAAGATGCTTCTATTACTAAAATAATTTTATAGCATCTTAGCATGCTGCTTGGCAAAGCTTTTGCAATTTTGATGGCCTATCAAAGTGTCCAGGATGGCAGAGCCCACTTTGTTTCACACACACCTGATAAAGGTGAAAGCAAAGAGCAGACATCAGCACTATGGCTATAAATGAAAGTTTTGTTTTGTTTCGCAGTAACAGCCACCGCTCTTGTCAGGCAGATTTACTCCACCACATACTATTTAGCCCCCAGTCAAAACCCATTGAAATGGTAGAAAAGAATTGCAAGTTGTTTGGAAAATGACAGTCTCTACATTGTCTCATTGCTGGACTGTGATGTACTAACTTCATTCGACAGAAAAAAAGCAACCAAGCTAAAAAATATGAGTGAATGGAAAAAGAAAGGAAAACAAATCATAAGGATAGACTCTAAACTGGGATCTCCTGTCCTGAAACCATCTCTGTAGCATTGGAGCATCACCTCAGGATCTTGCTGGAGCAAATGGTGAGAAAGCAGAGACAGTCAGACATGCTCCCAAGTCAGACCTCTCTGCTGGGCTCGGTGTGAGGAACAGGTCAGCACTAGCCTGAGCATGTTGCTCAGCCTTGGCAGTGGCGATCATCATTTGTTGGATCTGGTAGCAGGAGGAACGACAGCCTTGGGTAGGCACTCTGGTAAGGCAGACCTTGCTGGACTAAACTGCCCAAGTGCCTTAGCAGATCGGGAGGCTGTGTACTTTTGGCTGTCATATAATGTAGCTGTTTTCATTATCTACAGGCATAAATAACAACTGCGGCCAAGGTCTGCAGCTGTATTATAAGTAAAATACCTTGCTAAGCACAGTATTAGGATTTCAATAGCTAAATATTACCATATCGCTGAGTTTTGTTTCGTGGTGTGGCACTGTGCGTGTATTTAAGGCATAGGAAAAGTCAGGAGGCAGTCACAGCCCTGCAGCCGGGGGCGCTTCAGAAAATTCAGTGAGCAGCCGACGGATGCCGAGGCAGAGGGGTGCCCATCCCCAGAGCCGCCCATCCCCAGAGCCCCGCATCCCCAGAGCCACCCACGGCTTCTCCCAAGTAAACTCCACGAGATTTGTTCCCACCGGAGTAAATCTAGCTGAGGGCAAATCAGCCCGTGGGTCGGATTTACCCACTTTAAATCAGGGCTCTTCTCCCCGTACACCGGGCAGAGACAGTGTCTGAAGACCCCCCTGGCCGCCCAGGTTCCATCCCTCCGCACATCCACGGCAGCGAAGGAGCAGTCAGCGCCTCCCGCGCCAGCCACCGCGGCTCCTGCGGGGCTCCGGGGGATTCAAACATGCTTTTTTTTTTTTTTTTTTTAAAAGGAGGGGTTTTAATAAAGGTCCTGGAGCCTGGCCAGCGCCTCGCCTCAGTGCCGAGCAGGGACACCCCACGCCCCACTCCGGGTTCCAGCGGCCCCGCGCCGGGGCGGAGCGGGCTGAGTCACCGGCCGGCCCCCGGGGCGAGCGGGGCTGCCCTCCCGAGGCGGGCTGCGGCTCGTCCACGTGCCGGGGCCATTTAAAAAGTTGGGGCAGGGAGCGAGGACATGGCCAGAGGAGCGGCTGGCAGAGCGGCTCCGGGAGCTCCGCGGCCATGGGACACCGGTGTCACCGCCAGCCCCCCGCGGCCAGCCCCGAGCGCGGCCGGGGGAAGGCAGGGCACGGCGCGGCGCTGACCGCGGCCCCGCTCCTCCTCCTCGTCCTCCTCGCTTCCTCGATTTCTGCTGGCCAAGGTGAGCATCATCCCGCCCGCAATCCCCTCCTGCGCCCCAGCTCTGCACATTATCGGGGAGCAGGGTGCCCGCAGCCCGCCCGCCTTGCGGCGCGGCTGGAGCGGGGCAGCTGCGGGGAATGGCCCGGGGGGATTCTTCTCGTGGGATTGCTCTGTCCTGGCAAAACACTCCAGCAACTCGGGGAATAGGCTTTTGTTAAAAGATATTTAAGTATCATTTACTCTGATTTTAAGAAGGTAAGAAAAGACACGAAACAGCACGCGTCACAAAATTGCAGGACAAATTAGGACCCTCTGGCAGTCATTCCAACCTGTAGCAATATTTATGAGGTGAGGAATCCTGAAAGAGGCTATCTTTGCAGCAGGGGGCTCTTGTGAAACATCTAGCGGACTGTTTAACAAACCATACTCTCTTTTCTACTCTATTTTCCCACCTCAGATAGATTAGCTCCCTACACCTTACAAAATGCTGTGCAAGGACTATTTCTATTTTGTTTGTATTATATTTGCGTGATTTGCTTTAGCTGTGAGTTTCTGTTCTGTTTCGCTTTGTTGTGGTTTTTTAATATAAATAACCAAAGAAATCTAATTGCAGCATACTTTATATTATATTAAGAATAAGCTCTGAAGATGTGGAAGAGGGGAGGGAAGGAAGAGGAGCGCAATGGAGGGTAGTGGCACACGGTATTTCATCACTGCTCTTACACAAATGATTGCCAGGAGCTTGTTTAGGGATGCAGTAGAGGAAAGATGTAAGAAGTGAGCCCCAGTCTGTGCATCTGGCATTCTACTGCCTTGAAACAAGTTGAATTTCTTAAAGGTGGCAGAATTTAAGAATAGGAGAGCAAATGTGCTGTGGACAATGTTGATTTTGTGGAAGAATTTCCTCCTCTAACTTTCCTTTAAAGGACTTTTTCTTCAATAGCACATACTTCTTTCTTTCTATCCCTCCTCTCTCTCCTCTCTCTCCTCTCTCTCCTCTCTCTCCTCTCTCTCCTTTCCTCTCCGTCCTCTCCCTCCTCTCTCTGTCTTCTCTCTCTTGCCTTCTCTTCCCTTCCCTCTATGGTTATTTTGTGTATATTACAGAAAACCTTAACGTTTCACTGTGTGTGCTGTTATGTAAATGAATGAAGTCCTGTAGGTACTGCAGCCGTGTTCTGGACGGGGTGATGGAGGAACACTGCTCAGTCCTTGGACACAGTCCTAGGTGCACAAAACAGATGGGATTGTACATGAAATAAAAATTTCTGAATATGTAGGGAAGGGTAAAGGAAAGTGAGGAGTGGGTGAAATAATTTATCTTCTCTGTCCAGAAGTTTATGCTACAGGCCAAAAGAAGGGACAAAGTTATAATATTCAGGCTTTCCTGCTTATTGCCCTATGCTTTACTAATTCATGCTGATGAATTTCTTTAGCTCTCCCTGAAAAGCCTTGGGAACCAGTCAATGGCAGAAGAAATGTTCAGAGATAGGCAGGCAATGCTTTGATGGGGAGGGTGTGCTAATTTGAAGTTAATTTGCCCTGTTCCACTCTTTTGACTAGGATACTAATCCCAGGTAGTACTCCAGTGTGAATACACTAATGTAAGAGCAGAAGACAACATAGGACAACTGTAGCACCTTTAATTTATTTGGCATTTTTCTTTGAAATGAAACAAATGACTGGAAATCAGTTTCCTTGTTTTGTGAACAGCTCAGAGATTTAAAAAATAATCCCACTTCTATATAGTGTGAAATTAAGATCCCCTCTAATTCTTTTTTGGGGCAAAGGAAGCATCCATAATAATTAGTGACTCTAAATCCATGCCAGTACAAAAATGTGGTTTTGAAATCCATCCCATTCCATTAATGCCTGGAACTGTTGTGATTATTGTGATTAGGGGTAAATGTAAAACAAATAACATGATGGGCATTTATTCCCTGCTCACTGGACATTCTAGCTAGGTCTAGAGGTCTAGCACCAGTTTCCCTCCCATGAGAGTTACAGCACATGCTCTCACTGATACCAATGCATGGTGTCTGACATAGTCACAATTCTGCAATGCTCATTTCTGTTATTTACAGAGACTCTAAAAATACACTGCTATCAGAAATACACACTGCCAGGTAAAATAACAATGTGGTAAGAGGGATATTCTGGACACTGAACTGGAAGGGACCCTGGGACAGTGACTTCCATGCCTGCAGCCTGGGTGGGTAGAGATAAAGAAAGGAGCTGCCCCAAGTTAAGCACAGTTTCACTGCATCATTATGCAATTAAGAACACATTTAATCTACTGAGGGACAAGTTTTTCCACATATATGAGACAGAGGAAACAAATCCAGTTACACATGTACTGTCTATCAACTTCTCAAAACAACATGTTCATATCATGGACACTATTTACATGCAATTGTACATTGCATAGTGCATGTTCAGTTCTGCAGATGTAGCATACAGGAAGGGAAGAATTAGAGGTGAGCAGAGTTCTCAGAAAGTTTGGGGTTGCAGGAACTGGAATGTCATTTTCTGAGCAGGTCTCAGTGAGACCTAAGTAACTTCCACACTCAGACATGAGTGCTGCCTATTGCTCAGACATGTGAGTGTCCATACCTGCTGTGAAATCGTGAAAAAGTGTCCTGCTGTGCTGCTGAAATAGGCAAAAACTACTGGACAAACCACAGAGCACGCAGGGTCACAGAATTCCTTGGACCAAGCAGATCTCGGCCTTTGCAGTTTATAGTTGTGCTGGGTATGTCTGACATGGGACACCTACAGAAATGACCTCTGCTGTACAGCATTGCTAAACACAGTTTGTGCTTCCAGGTGCACCAATGCCATCCCAAGCACTTGTATCAGATGAGGATTTTCAGCTGTTGAAAGAGGTAAGCGTCATCTGCCATGTGATACCCTCCCATTTTCCCATTTCTTCTGTGCCCATCCATGCTACAGTCCTGCCTCACCATCCAGTATTTCTCTTGCACAGAGTTCAGCTGTGTTTTCTTCTAGTATGACTTCCTGTATGTCTCCTATCCTGGCATCAGCAAAGAGGTGAAATATCTAATTTTCCAGATATTCTGAACAATTGCTTCAGGAGGATGTTGGGACTAAGTGTTGAGATGTCATTCTGAGAAGAGATTGCCTTGTCTCAGTGGAGAGCTATGTTTGATAACTGTCAATAACCAGGCAGACACTGTCCCTGGAAGCATCACAGTATCCCTCCCATCTGGTAGTTTTATAGTCTGTACATGATACTCAGGAATTGTTTCAACTCATCCAGTCTTGCTTCTTGCATCCTCTGTTCTGCACACAAGGCTGGGACTGTTTAATCCTATCCTAGCCTCTCAATTTACTAGGTAAAGGACAATGTACTGTGTCAATTAGCCCCTCAAACATTTGGCTACTGAATTACCCCCTCAAACATTTGGCTACTGATTGGTATCATAACTTCCACTCTCATCTCTGAAACAAGCCTTTGTTTTGACTCTGGAGTGTGACGCATGTGTTAACACAGGCTCTTCCCTGCCCTTTTGGAACAGATGGAGTGGCAGGGCATGACATGTGGAGAGGGTTTATCCTGCAACTTGCATGCCCTGGTGTTGCTGCAACTGTCAACTATTGTGTTGACATTTAATTTAGTAGCTTTTGATAACATTGGAAAATAAGTGACTCATCAGGGGAGCAGATGAAGAGAAGTAAATTTCTTCTGATGGAGACCATTACAGGAGACATTCTGCTTACTGTCATCTCCCCACAGTTCATATTGGACATAATGACTCAAAACCTAAAAACCTCAAAACCTGTTCCAGACTGGCACTTAAATGAGCCCTAGTGATGTTTATCACCTGGGAAAAAATGGTCTCTTGGGAAGTAAAATCCTGAAAACTATAAAGAGTTTTTGAAAATGAGTTATTTACATTCTGCATTTTAAAATCTGTTTTATGCATTTCTCCATATCTTGAGAAGGTTTTCTAGCTGTTAGATTTGTCCCTGTGGTGACTGGAAACCAAGACAAAGGTCCTGTTGATTTTAATGAAGAAAGTGGTATGCATAAGATACTAAATTTTGTAATAGAAGCAATATAAAAGTTACCATTAGAACTAGAATTATGCTGGACTGGAAAGGGTCTAAAGAAAGAGAATTAGATATATAGTTATATACCCTAAATCAACCCAATTACTCACTCATACTAGTTAACTGGGGTTTCATAAAGTGCAAATAATAATTCTTCCCTCTTTGCTACTTTACTAGTGGATCATTCAGGAGAAACCCTGCCTCTGAATAAACATAGTGTGTTCCAGGAATGGCTCTGAGTTTATAAATTTGATTCTTTGCTTGTTATAAATTAAATTATTTACTTGTCTCTTACTTCCTTTTGTTTCTTTATGTTATTTAACTAACCCCAAGCAACTTGCAGTCTTCTACCCTCAGGCCACATTTCTGAGACAGGAGAGAAAATTTTGGAGAAGATACATAACAGATAGAAACTATTAATTTCTTTAAAAGGAATTAACAGAAATTGTGGGTTTTCTTCAGCCCTTGTTTTGTCTGTGAAGATTTTAGCTGAAAAACACCATTGTGTTGAGCACAAAGCAGTCTATGGCTTGTTCTGCTACTGAATTGTGGTAGTTCTCTGCATCAAGTAAATAAAACAAATAAAACACAAACAATTCCCAAGAGAAAACAGCCCCTTTTTAAAAATAATCGTCCAAAATTACTTCAGCATGATTTTATCTCATTCATTGTTTCTTCCCCGATACTTTCTTACTCTGAAAGTAGCAAAGCTGAGCTGATACTCTCAAACACATGCAAGATGAAGGAAAAAGAGAACTGAGAGGATGTGTTACCAACAAAACCTATTTGAAAAGGGAATCCTATGTGAGCTATTAGTTTTCCTACTATATCTGCTAATGCTTTCTCATAGATTGTCTCTGGAGAAATGAATCATCTCCTGTCCTGAAGTGCTCAGATAAGCATTATTTTTTAAAATTTCTTTTTCCTTTAATGTTTTTGTTGCTAATGCATGTTGCTTAGGGTTTCTCATCTATAAAAAAAATTGCAAGAACAATTGCATTGCCTGCTCTATCAAAAAACCCAACCCACTATGTTTTTTATGCAGTCTGTGAACAACGTGAGTGGCAAAGATTTTTTTTTTTTTCATCTAACACTACCAAATATTCCATGGAAAAAAACTAGCATATGCTGATTGAGGTTACTATTGATGCAACTTTGAAGTTGCTTTTTGTCATCGTTATTAAACTGTGCAACTTCAGTTGCAGTGCTGGAGACTTTTCCTTACAGTATACTCAGAGCTTTCAGTGCAGGTATTATTATTTCTCTGAACTCAAATACCTTTTATTCAATTTCTTATTCCTTCTCTATTAATAACTCCACTAAAAATTAGTCAGTATTACATTATTCTTTCATCTTGGAAAAGAGACAGAAGGAGGATGTAATTAATACAAGGTTATGAGCCATGGGGAGAGAATGGTTAGGAATCACTTATTCATTTCTTCTTCCAAGACAAAATCATGACAGCACTGGATGAGACAGCTTTGAAAGGACTGGTGAAGACAAACAGAAGTGGTGTTTCACACAGTGTTTAGGAAAATTCTGGCACAAATCAAGTGGTGTGCATAAGATGTGCCACCTCGTATCATAATCATTCAAGGGATGCCTGTGTCATACACCTGTGGGGATGCCGTAATCCAATTGAAAAAGTCGTGTTGGAGGACTGATCCTTGAATCCCTTGCTTTAGTTTTGTCATTTTCTTCAGTTTTGTATAATCCAGAGGTATTGCAGAAGAGATTCAAGTTCATAGTTCATGCCCCAGATGCTTTCAGTCGTAACTTAAAATATGACTTAGTCTGAGAAGTTTGCAGTTAAGAGGGGTATGTGGTGGGTAGGGAATAAAGGTCACAGATATGTATGTTTGTTCAAGCAAGTATAAGTTTGTTGTTCTTGTTGTTGTTTTTATGTGGTTAAGGCTCTTTCCCCCTCTGAACACAAAATATTTAATGAACGGACTTATAAGGATGTCTTACAGTAGGCAAGCTTGCCATGCCATTAGCTGCACTTGCCTTTTCCTGAAAATATGAATATTTCACTTGTTTTTATTACTCTGACTTCCTAAAAAAACTGTGTGAACTCTTACAGATAGATGATGCATGTTCTGCTTACCTGTCCACAGATTCTCAGCCTCAGGTGAGTCAGAGAGAGAGAACTATTATTTTGATACTGTTTGTTATATGTAGTAGAATTGGAAATATGATACCTGAGCTCCTGTTTTCTTTGCATTAGGTGTCCAGTACATTGGAAGAACTTTGTTTTTTGGTCATGGGATTTCTCCAGAAAGCACAGGTAACACACACAAAAGACTACTTAGCATTTTTGAAACCTGATCTCTCACTGTGCCATTGTCTACAATGAATTCTGAGGACCCAGTATGCAAAGTGTCATTCAGCACTGGAAGTATTTCTATCAGTTTTTACTCTGATATGCCATGTGCCAGAAGGTAACACCTTGTAAAGACAACGGGGAAACATCAATGTTTGGAAAATTATCTCCAGGTTGGGTACAAGGTGTTTTTATCGCTCTAGATTAGAAAAGCTATGAATTCTCAACAGACGAAAAATTGACATAAGAGAGTCTGGGGATGAACAAGGGAACATCTGCTAAACACATTTAACTCTTCTAGGGCAGAGTCATCAATGCTGTCTACAGAGTTTGAAATGATTAGTTAGATTGATAAGCAAAGACATATAATACATCTGCCAAGGAAGAAGGATATTTCAACCCAGTGCTGAAAAGATTATGTATTTAATCAAAATTATCCACTGTTCTTTTTATTTTAATGAATAAAAGCCTTTCTACCAACTATTATTCCCACAGGGTTTAGATGAGAAAGACAACACCAAAAGGGTAAGATGTCTATATATGTCCTACAATCACAGTAAAAAAAGGCAAGAACATCACAAAACTCTTGCCCTGTTTTGTAGTAAAACCCACTTTTAATTTTTTTGAACAGTTCTTATTTCATTATTCTAAGACTCATGACTCGGGCAACTCAGACATCATGGTGAGTGGCATAGCACCTCCTTATGAGTGAGTACATGTGTGCTTGTATATAAAACCAATATTCCTTTTTGCAGTAGTCTCTCCAAATGTATAGCAAGCTCAGGACTGGGAGTTGCATGTTGCATGAGAGATGATCAGTACTGTACAGGTGTGGACAAAAAAATCTTAACAAACTAAACCAAACATTCATGGAATCCCAACTGAATCTTAATCTTGCAGTTTCAAATTTTAAGAATGAGATCAAATACTTTTTTCGGGTATTGGAACATTTACAGGACCTGAGAACATGGCAGTAATTATTGGATAGTCTTTAATCATTTTTATTAATTATTAATTAAACTGTATTAATTCATTTGCACATGTCATAAATATGTAACAGGCAAAATAATATTTAAGTCTCACTTGGACTTTGGATTCCATTTTGAACGAAAAATATAGTTTAAACCATGGCCAAGCAGTGTTGGTCTAAAAGTATTCTCATAAACCAACAAGCCAAGTACGTGATCTGTTCTTGCTTTTGAAGTGCAAACATACTCTGTTATCTGTGTGCATCTATGCACCACAGGATTTTAAGAGTTAAACATACTCATATTTTCTTGTTTCTTAGCAATCATTGTTATGTACCTATGTTATGTACCATTTTTGCCGTGTTCTTTACCTTTCTCCAGAAATATGTGGTGTGTTTCCTAGAAAGTGATCTTGCTTATATTAGTGTCAATGTTTTTGTGCTACAGCTGCTTTGGAGGCTTTAATGGTAATTAAGGCACAGTGAAATGAGCTATTTCTGCTGCTGCTCCTGCTTAAAAGTTACTGCATCCCACTGCACCATGATCCTGAATACCTTTGCCAATTGCATTACTTTTCTAAGAAGTATTGTAGAAAAACGCATTACTTTTTAAATTATATTTTATGAGTTGAGAATTTAAAGTGGTTAATGGAACACAGGTTTTTTATACTTTATTTCTTCCAGCGGACCTCTCTCCACAATCCCACGTAGTTGTGTTTTTCCAGGGTGAGCACTTAGTGTGCACACAATGCCACTGTGTATAATTAGGCTGTCTGCAAGATTAAAGTCTTGTTGAACACAAGGAATTTCATGATCAGAGCTTAGACACAGTGACCAGTGCCATGGTTACAAATGCCCCTTGAGAATGGATTTCAACTGTACACTGTTCTTCAGCAAAAAAACCCAATTCTTTTTGTTGCCATTTATTTTGAAGTAAAATGAAATTTCGGTACAACAGAGGTTGAAGCTGCTAACTTCCATAGCAGAAGACTGTAGAAGTGTTAGTAGGAATACTGTATGGAGATATTCTCAGTACCACTCACAGAGACTGATCAAAGTTCAAATAATTCCAGGAGTCTGTAAATGGTTCTGAACTTTCAATTAGTAAAGATGAGGATACATATCTTTTCCCTCCATCACTCTGTATAGTGTAAATATAAATGTTGATGCCTGTTGTCAAGTCAAAATGTTAAAAGTATTTCAATTAATAAGTTTCTCGGTCTTCAGTCCTTTTTTGGTGCATGTTTAGTTCAGGACCCAATACTGCAGAAAGAGACTTTTTTTGCATCATAAGGGCCAAATTTCACTGTTGCTCATGTGTGTGTGTTCGTGTCCTCTCAGTCGTCTGTCCTGCATCCTTTACTGCAACTCGTTCCTCAGCTTAATGAGAGAAGACTGAAGAGATACAAACTGGACGTATGTAAACCTAAACTCTGTATGCTCTCACACCTTGTGATTCATTAGCTTTTCTAAAAGTGCCCTTGTAGACCTTTCTGCTTTTATATTTTGGTTGGACTACCCAAATCTCAATCTCACAGAATGTGCTTCAGGAAGGGTTATCTTACTGCTGATCTTTTTTCTTCTTCACACTGGGAAGAAAAACAGAATCTGCTGTACATAAACACATACACCTCTCTCTGACTACATAAGGAATTGAAAAGGTAGATGGGTGAAGGAGAAAACATGCTCTATTAAATTCATTCTTTCCCTCCAGTTCGAAGCAATACCAGATTTTTTCATGACTCTGATTCCTCTTTGAGCTACAGCCTGCCTGGTAGGATATGATATAAGAAAGAAGACTCAAGCATTTTCTTGGCTAGTCAATATAAGAGACTGAGCAAAATAACTTCTAGAGGGCAGGCATTAAAGTAAAACTCTAAGTAATCATACATCTTCATGAATACATATTTTTCTGTGTACATATATACATACAGGTTTGTGTATAAACTTGCATATTTATTATGACATGGTTTTTTTAACATCTCAAAACCCTTAGAAGCTAGAAGGTGGGTGTTACAAAAATGACAGATTCTTAGCTTCAGCTGTTTTCTAATACCAAACTTCTGACTTGAACTCAAACAAGAACATGTAATCTTTAAGAAGTGTCTGTTTGTAAGAGGAAAATGACATTAACATAAATCACAATTTCTCACTAGTAATTGTACACTTCTGGATGAATTTCTTAATTTCTTAATTTTGCAACAGCTGCCCATTTTGTTCCTGTTTTCAGCTTTGTTCACATATTGAATAGAAAAAGTAGAAAAAATTGCATGAGTACCATAAGACTCAAATGACAATGTATGGAAAAAATTTTACCCTTTTGAAATATAAAAAATTATAATAGTGATTATATTATAAATCCAAGATGGGTATTTCAAACACAGATAATGCTAGAATGAGAAGAGCAATAGAAATAAAAATCATACAGATGTTTTACGTACAGCAAGAAACTGAATAAAATACTATATCTGATGAACTGAAGTCAGAATTAAAATCAAGTCTCAAAAATTATGTATAGTTTAAACTCCACTTCCTTTGAAAGCTTCCCTGGATTGAATCTACTTTTGTAGTTTGGAAATTGTGGGAGTCATCCTATTTTACACAATTCTCACAGCATTAGAATAGAGTATGGTGTGATTCCTTTCTATGACACTTCACCTTATGATACTTACCCAAGAGACCACACCATCCCAGTTTTTGGTTGAGAAATACCCTCATTGCTAGATAAAAGCCATCTTCAATTTATGTTCTGGTAAGCATAACGCTGAGACTATTTTGTTTCTCAAATTTACTGTCTCCCCACCTGCAGGTCAGACACATCACTCCTATCTGATACCAACAGAACCAAATGAAACACTGTGATTAAGCTTATGTGTTCTCTAATAATGGTCTCATTAAAGCAACTGGATACTTCATGCTTTGTGCTTTTTACATTTAAATGGAATTTCTATTTTCTTCATCATTTGTTACCCTCCTTGCTGTGTGGATCACTGGGCAGCTGTTTCACCCTTGTGCAGCATGGGCAGGATAGATTATCATAAGCACTGCTCCTTGGGAGTTAATGTGAGAGGGGTGGTTATGGTACATCTTTGGGAACAGTCTGGGGTCTCATTCCTGGGAGCAGCTCAAGTATTTCTGATATTTAAACTTTGTCTTTTTGTCCTCCTGCAAGAGGCAAAAAGCAGCTCTACTTTATCTGTAGGGACCCTGCTATCATGGAAACACTCTTGCTGTGCCTGGGTAATGAACCCTGGAAAATCAGAGGCAAAGGCTGTTCATAATTTCTAGTACCATTCAAAAGCAATCTGAGCTGATCTAAAACTTCAGGTGGAATTGGGCTCCATTCATATGTTCTCTGCTATTCCTACATGACAACATCAACTTTGTGAAGCTGACATGGAGAAATGCACATAAAGCATTTAAAGAGTAAGACTATGCAGGACTGAAGAAGTATTTTTTATATATATATATAAACAACCTCTTTGTGTGTATAAATTTACAGCTGTAGATATAATTTTAAATACTTCTTTTTTTTTCTCCAGGAAGAACCTCAAGGACCTGGAGCGATTCAAAGCAGAGGCTACTTTTTCTACAGGGTATACAGTTCATTTGATTTTTTTTATTTTTCTTTTGTGCTGAGAGTTACAAAAAAGAAAGAAAAAAAAGTATTACTGTGATTGAGGATATTTTTTTCAGTAAGAGCATTCTACCTACAGGATATCTCCAGGCCTGTACTTGATATTTCCTTGTATTAAAATAAAGGCATTGTAGGAATTTTTTAAAAATCATGTTCCTAGGTTTGTGTATACATGATACTGTTCTATGCCTTAAGAAGTCATTGGTTATTTTGAAATCTGTTTGTCAGAGAAAGTTCTAGAAAATATGGCATCTTGGAAAATCTTCATAAAACATTATTCAACAGGGTATGTTTGCACATGACATAAATATGATTCCATGCTTACACACTGATCTAGGTCCGACCTTGCCATTTTCTTTCTGTTTTGACCAGTAAGGTAAGAAACTGGATACAGAAATTCTCATGAGGCTGAATCTACTGTGTTCATCTTTTATGCCATAGAGCCTTTTTGCTTCTCTTTAGCAAGAAAAAAAAAAAAAAAAAAAAAAAAAAAAGAGGTAGCAAGTCAGATGTTTCAGATGTTTGAATAGTTCTCTTGATTTTGGTTAGTATTTCTACTTAAATAATAAAGTGGCCAATGGCTTGAAATAAAAATGTGGCTAGGGTTGTACTCGATGATCTTAAAGGTCTTTTTGCAACCCAAATTATGCTCTAATTCTAATGAAAAGACACAGATTTGTATAGTTACATTTCTTACGTATCAGGCTTAGATCCTTAGAGTTGTTATGACAGGCCAAAGTTATGGGTAATATTAACATTGGTGCATTCATGCTTCAGAGAAAAAGACAAATCCGTATTAAGCCCAGGAAGAAATTTTTTATCAGCTTTAGTAGAAGTGGTATCAAGTCCCTCATGAGAGCAAAATATTTCTGAAAAACACCACAGTGAAAAAGGGGGAAGTCCTTACCTATATCAAAGAATACAGTCTAAAAGGAAAATCGAGAGTGATATGTATTTGTTTGTTAATAGCAACAAACACTTATGCAATAATAATAATCAGAAAGCACATTTTAAGAAAATGCAAGAAGAATAAGGATTAATGATCTCTTCTTACAGCTTTCTCCCCTTTATAAAATCATACAAGATAGACAATTCATTCTACAATCAATATGCAGTAAATTTTAGTGTATAATTCTCCTCCAGAGGTAAATATAAATGAAACAATAACTTATCTTAGGTCCATCTTTGATAATAATCACAATGACACTACTGAGAAATTCACCAGTTTCTATACAAACGAAATTGTTTGGGGCTTTGTTACTAAATTCTGTCAGTTTTATAGAATATATAACTTAGTGAGTATTTGTCTTTCAGCCACGTAATGGAAGAAGATCAGTGGATTTTCGCTAAGGAGGTACTTATTTAATGCTTTTTAATCATTATCTAGATGTAAATTCGTTCATTTTTATCCAAATAGACCACAATATTTTTGTTAAGAAGTTGTCTCAGAAAGCATTTAAGTGTGTAATTGATTTAGATTTCCATCCACAAACTTTTCCCAGATGTGTTAAATACACTTTGATGTGTTAAATACACTTATCTTCAGATGAGAGGAACAAAAGCTGTAAGTATTCAGTTCCCACAACAGAGAGCACAGAAGTGTTTCAGGCACCAAGAAATGGAAAATATCCCACATTGGTAGACAATTTGGAAAGTACTGATGATAAGTAAGAACTGTGTCAAAGAACTGTCAAATGAATGCTGAGAAGTAAGCTACATTCTGACATTCCCTAATCTTATGAAGATAAAAACCTCACACTGAAGCTGAGTGCAAACTTCAAGATTTAATTTCAGTGTCTGAAACTATTTGGAGAGATGTAAAAATGTAGACCAATACTATAATGCTCTCTTTTCTAATGTATTTTATACTGCCATCATTTTTAAATGTTATCTCCAACTTAGTGTTATATCAACAGCTAATGCTCTGTCTTATTTTTCAGGATTATAGATTCCTGACTTAGAACTCAAACTGCAGGAATGCTGAGTACATGGACATCCTGTTTTCCTTACAATAATTATTCGTTAATGTACAATTAGAAATCACTTGAATGTAAATATTCCTAAACCAGATTCAGTTAAGAAGGTCTTTACTATCTTGATTATATTAAAAGCATATGAAAATTATTTGTTTCTTAGTGTTATGATGTTTACAACCACATGTAATTTAACTGTAAAAGAGTCAGTGTTTGCATGCAACAGACATTGCCTCTAACAACCCTGTTGAGCAAATTTTCCCTTCTAAATAAAGGCCCTCAGCCAAACAGTTGTTTTAATGAGAATGTTTGCAATCAAGACTACTGTGTTTTTTTCCAGATACGTTGTGATTTGTATGTTTCACCATCTGAAAAAAAAAAAAAAAGATGAGAATCCCTTTTCCCTTAATAAAAAGAACCTGAACAAGTTGCTTGTTTTGAAGAAATATCATGACTTTAATTCAACTAAAACATAATGGCATCCTGTTTTAGCTATCAAGAACACAGATGCACTATGGTTCTCATTTAGAAGACACAATTCACTTGAAAACTCAAGTGCTTTTGATGGAGACTGAAAGAAGCTCTGCTCAGAAATACAAGCCTTACAATCTTCTCAGCTTCTCTCTATGAGTTAATTTTCACACAAAAATTGTATTAAATTATGTTGTTGAGGTTGTAATTATACTGAAATTAACTAATCACTCAGAACGAGATGATCTTTAAGTCCCTTCCAACCCAAACCACTCTGTGCTTCTATGACTCAGTTTAGAAGTGAGCTAAAGTTTTTAACATTGTATTGGCAGGTCATGGTTTGAATTGGCCTCAGCATTACTACTCTCTCTTCGGCACTTTTGAATGAGCAATGAAACTTCCCAAGGTAGCTGAAAAAATTACGGCCTCAGAGG